CAAAGCTGCAGTGATATCTTAGGAATTATACATTTTGACAAATGATACCGAATTGACTGGCCGGAAATGTGCAGATCGGAAAACCACAAACTATTGTCCAAGTTATATCTTATAAATCTTGTTTTGATAAACATCAACCTCTTCCCTTGGGGGGACAAAAAGCATGTTTCTCTGTCGGGCCGTCAACCCCACCCTTCATTTCCTGCCCGTCAATAAATCAGGTCTCTTGTGTCGAGGGTTCCCTAGGCAACAGCATACGCACAGCACATCATTGATTTCCAGAATAGTGGGTTGTTGGTGTTGTGGTTGTGACGCCTGCACAACAGAAGGGCAAACACCAGAACAGGGGGTGATGGGAGTGCACAGATCCAGTTTGAACATGGTGTGCGTTTGTGTGTGTGCAGATACGGCCCCACATCTCCACCCTGAGGAAATACACGTATGGAAAACACATCCTGGCCAAGCTGGAGAAGTACTACATGAAGAACGGAGTGGACCTGGGTCCTCTCTGCGGCCCGCCCAACGGCATCATGTAAACTGACTCCCCCTCCCTCCCCTCCGGCCTGAAGTCATGTCTGTCACCCCCTCCCTCTCCCCTTAGCCCTTGTTAAAAGCTCTCATGTCTCCTGACCCCTCAGAGGGCATCATGCCCACTCTCCCCCTCCAAATCCCGTTCACAGAGGACGTTGAGTACCCTTCTTCTTACCTTTTGTTTCCATGACAACCTCTCGGGAGGAGCCTGTTGCTACGGGCAGCCTTAGTTTTTGTCAGATTTTGTCGCCCCTCCCCCACCTGAGCCCAGGCCCACTGAACTGGGGGAAGGAGGGCAGGGAGTGGAAAGAAAGAGAGGAGAGGCTGCTCCACTCCCTCCTTTTTTTTCTGTTTCCTTTCATTTCCTCGTTTCTGATCAACTCTAAAAATCATTTCACTTTTTGCTACTGCTGCACACACAATCCTAGTGTCCCCCTTCTCCCCCCATCCTAGATATTTACCACTATGAGATGGACGAGTATTTAATTTGTCAGACGTCACAGAATCATAGACACACACGCCATCAGCTAACCAGCAGACAGATCATTTAGCATGGGAGATTCGTTTTCTGGTCTTGCTTCTATAAATATAACGTGTATACTTGGTGTAGACCTTTGCATATATATATAAATATATATATAAAACTTTGTAGTTTTTCTGGTTTTTGATGTTGAATCTGTATCTATAATGTATCCTAGTAGTGACCACATACTTCTGACTGTATAATTGTACATTTGTAAACCCTTGTAATGTAAAAGTGCTTTACCACCCTTTTTGGTATGAGAAGAAAAAAGATAAAAAAGCTCACTCAGAAAAAGAAATCTTAGAAAAAAAACCCTGTGCATTTCAGTGTATATTCTCACCTCCTTGGTTGTGACATATGAGTTGTTGTATATTGTAAATTGTAATATCAAATTTTTGTTTTGAAAAGCCCTTTCTATACAGCGTAGTACTTGTACAAAGATTCGCCACGCTTGGTTTTATCTTTATCTTGTCACTGCTTAACTTAAGACGTCGTTCTCCCACTGACTCCCAATTGGACACGTTCTGTTAGACTTAGTGTGTCTTCTGCTTTATGTTGAAGGTTTTTTTGTTTTTGACCTTTTTTTAAGATCTTTTTATAGGAATGCTTTACCCCATGAAAAGTGTCATGTGTATGCTGGCTGGTTGGGAGAAATAACTTTTACTCATTTAACCCCAAACCCCTCGATTACCCATGACTTTTCAGAGGGGTAAACCCATGGATTGTACAGAGGAGATTCTTGTGTTTTTTGGCATTTCTCTAGTGCTGTAAGTGCTGTATCATACTGTCCATGTCCTTTTGGGTGAGAGAGGCAGTCCGCCACAGTGCGGTGTACATTTGGAGCAGCCTTGTGTATATTTACTACGAGCACACCTGTAACCATATGTGTATAGTTAACAGAACCTGTGTATGCTTATTGCCTGGGCAACTATTTTTTGTAACTCCTGTTGTAGATTGTCTCTAAACAATTGTGTGATCTTTATTTTGAAACCAAACTGAACAAAAAAATCTTTGAAAATGTAACCGTCTCAAGTGTCTTTTATTGTTTGTTTGTGACGCTCACACAGGGTGAAGGGACAGAGCTGCAGATTGCTGTTTTTCTTATTTTAAGTGTCTGTTTTATGAAAGAGGATCGGGATCTGTGCCACAGTTTCTCTTCCAGCCATCTGAATAAATGTGTTCGCACTGATAAGACTGCAACACACAGCGTGAGTCAGAGCTTGCTCTAGTTTCTTCATAAATGTGACTGATTAATAGGCCTGGCATCTTAGCATGGCAAGCAGCAAATGTAAGTGTACTATGATAATTATACTTCTGACATGAGTAATGACCCTAAAAAGAGATTAGGCATGAGGCAGAGCACAGCAATATGCATGCCAGTCGCTCTCTGCTCTTAAGTAGAGGATAGGTTGGCATGCAGTAAAATGAGTTGCTTTATATATCTGTAGTAAACAAACCAAATATTTATGATTCCAACATTCACACTACCAATAAAGCTACTAGGGATTATTTAGTCAAACAAAACTTAGAAAAGATGCAGAACTGTAATGTTTTGAACCATCAAAATGTGGAACAAGTTACTAATGAACCCTGGAAAAATATAAGACATGCTTTAAAAGCCTAAAAACACTGATGTTAAACTGAACACTAACTATTTCTTGTGTCTAAATGTTTACATTTGTACAGGTCTTTTGTATGCCAGGAAGCTAATGGGGATCCAAATAAAGGATTCCCAGACTTTACTGCAGGGTGGGGTCGGGTGTTTTTTAAATCATACCATCCCTCATGTGGTTTTCTAATTGTATATTCTAAAGAAACATGAGGACAAAACAAATCCTGCCCTCACTTGTCCAGCTTTTGTTTGGAGCATAGGTGGGAACAGCCAGGATGTTACTTTGAAAACAGGGCAGTTTGGGTGTGATGATAGCAGTAATCCCATGGCTTTGTTGATTTCTTAAAGAGGATAACAATAATAAACCCTTCAGGATGTGAGGACTGAGGGTGCATTACCTGCAGTGATTTTAAACCCTGAAACTAAACTCAAGCTGCTGTTTTATGGATTACCAAACCTGTTAAAACAGCTGTGACTACCCCCGGGCTCTGACCCTCAGTGACCCCCGACGCCTGTGTTTGTAATTATGTTTGTGGCACTTTGATTCATTGCAAAGTAAACACAACCTTATCCTGGGTTATTACTGCTCTTGTCTTTTTTAACATGATGCAAATTCCTATATATATTAGTGTGAAACAGGGTGTCAATACAAGTCAAACAGACGATAAAAGATAACTTTCAAGCTCAATTAAAAAGCAGTTGTAGCGTGTCAGTTGTTGAATTAGCTAACATATGTCCATCAATTTAAGTTATCAGGTTTTAGTTTAAATGCTTCGATTTTGATTGGAACCTTTTCAATTACAGATGGTGCCTTTAAACAATGATTACATGCTATTGTTTTCCCTTGTAACTGTCCTTGAGCAGTAGGGAATTGAGGGTCAAATAAAACATAACTAAACAGAGTTTATTTTCTTTTTTTGCTAAGCCCTAGCTTTGAAACCACACTTTTTAAAAAGCCTCCATTGGTCTGAAATCACTATGTGTGCGGGGCAAACATTAAACAGGAAGTTGACCCTGCAGCCATGAGGTGAGGAAAACGATTTATAAGCTTTTGCTGGTTTTCTTCTTAAGGTCATAACATACAATAGCTTGTGTAGCAGCACCCAACCCTTTGATGGGACCTGAATATGATGTACTACTGCACGAAATCAGTAAAAAATAGAGTGTTGTCTATTTTTGGTGGTTTTTAATTTGTCAGGCATGGTTTGGGGGAATTAGCACAGAGCTAAAAAGCTTTGCTAATGGTGAAAATGAACAACATTGCAATAGAGAACAATGGTGTTGGCTCTACATTAGTGGTTTCCAAACTATTTATATGTTCAGAACCCTAACCTAACCCTCCAGCAAAATGCTCATGCACTATCTGGCTTTGCTAGGTGTTTTTGCTAGCTGTTAACTCTAAGTTTAGCCTTGTCCTCTTAACCTACCTCTAACTAATCCTGAGTAATCTACTGCAATAGACTGGCACTAGTGAGACAGGAGGAAAGATGCAGGAAGACTAAACAAAATAAAAAACAAACATAAATAAAACACAAGTAGAGGAGTGAGGACAGGTTGAATGAGGGAACCAATTGAGTACAGGGAGAAAGAGGAAGCAGGAAATACAAGTTCAAGATGTGGGATTTTTCAGAACCTTTCATATGCAGGTTCTTATAATATTCTAACAAAACCCAATGTTGCCAGATAAATGGCAGCGAAAAAAATACATGTCCTCTTCAAATGAGTAGGTTAGGTTAGGTATGATCTACAGTGGGCTATTACAAAAATGAGGTGTTGGGCAATTTGTTTTTATTTATTTTTTACTCAAGGCTGATATTCCTAAACTGTCCCTGAGCTTAACTGCACGGTTGCTAGGCGACACAAGTAGGCTACAGTGCCTATAAATATTAATTATTGTTAGTACGACAGGTGTGAGCTCATCTGGGAGTGTTTTCAAACGCATTGACCGTGACTCAGCCAATCACAGCGAAGCACCGGAGCTGAGCCGTAAAGGTGTGTAAAGACGGCGGGCAGCCAACCGGAAGCACCTGAGCGCGAAACACCTGTGTGTGTGTGTGTGTGTGTGTGTGTGTGTGTGTGTGTGTGTGTGTGTGTGTGTGTGTGTGTGTGTGTGTGTGTGTGTGTGTGTGTGTGTGTGTGTGTGTGTGTGTGTGTGTGTGTGTGTGTGTGTGTGTGTGTGTGTGTGTGTGTGAGAGAGATGGGGCTGCGGGTGCCGAAATGAGCTGCAGGGGGCATCCTCGTCCTGGCTGGCGGAGATCCCCTATTTATCTCAATACACACACACACACACACACACACACACACACATTTATGCGCTCTTTCTCTCTCTCAAACACACACACCCCTCCTTCTGCCAGACTCCCAGGCCAAGCAGCGTCGCCATACGGAACATCCTGCCCTCAACGGAGAGGGGGAGGAGAGAGAGAGAGAGAGAGAGAGAGAGCTGAGTGTGAGAACAGGGACAGGGAGAGAGAGGCTGTGTGTGTGTGTGTTGAGAGAGAGAGAGAGAAAGAGAGAAGAGAGAGAGAGAGAGAGAGGAGCTCTGGCGTCTCCTGGTAGTAAATCTATCAGGTCTCGAGCACAAAAACTCACAGGAACAGAAAGAGAACAGGGAGAAGACGCCTCGCGGATATCTGCATGCTCTCCTGGTTACCTGCAGCAGCTGCACGTGAAGCCTTGGAATAAATCCCCCGACTAGAAGGAAGGATGGTCGCGCGGACGGGCTGCGCGCTCTGAAGTTGGACAGACTACCGAGACATCGACAGCAGCTTTTCCTCCCCCCCACCTCCCCGAACCCCGTGAAGGCAGCAGCGGCACCGCGAGGCTGTGCCCGCGCACCCCATCATGAAGCTGCCCTGGCTACTGCCGCTCGCGGCTCTGCTCGCTCACACCGCCACGGTAAGCACGAGCGTCAAATCCTTTGTTAACCGGGGAGCCCGTGCGTACACAGGAGCATTTTTGTACATGCTTATGTGTGTGTGCGCGCGCGCGTGTGTGTGTGTGTGTGTGTGTGTGTGTGGGGTGCGCTGCGCGCTGCGCTGCGCTGCGCTATCTCCAGTGAGACGGTGACGGCGGGTGATCGGTAGGAAATCCTGCACTCGACCTACTTATCAGCCCATGGTGGCGACCGTGACTCCCGGCTGCACCCCCACCCCCAGATCTCACACACACACACACACACCACACACACACACACACACACACACACACACACACACACACGTCTTTGTGTCTCAGTGTTGGGGTTTAATGTGTCCCCTTGAGTCGGGTGGTGTGTGTCTGTAATTAGCGGGTTATCTCTAATTGAGCTTGATTGCGGGTCTTTGTGCGATGCTTCGGTATGTGGTGTCTGTCACCAGCTCACATCCTGCCGTTAATTTGGGGGGCTCCAGTCCTACTGCGGCTTAAACGACTTTATTACCGGGTATGGTCGCACTGTAGGACGTGTGTGTGTGTGTGTGTGTCTGGGAGGGGGGGGGGGGTGTGTGATGTCCGATCTCCAACCTGTAAAGTGCACGCTCCCTTAACTGCGGCCTCATTGTCCGGATGACAGTATCCGACCAGGGGCATCCTCCCCGCTGTAATGTGTGTGTGAGTTTTTGTGTGTGTGTGCAGCAGTTTGTGGTGAAAAGTGGGTGGGGTAACGAGGACGTTAACGGCGATGCGGTGTGCGAACGAAGGCTTGGTTTGAATGATGTCATCGGGAATCGCGAAGAGGGAAGCTGATCACACACACACACACACACACACACACACACACACACACACACACACACACACACACACACACACACACCTCTTCCCTGGCACCATCAACGCCGAGCTTCACTCGCACCCCCCTTATAACACGCCCACACCTTCCGTTACCGATGAATCCAGATTTATCCCATGAGGAGGAGGAGGAGGAGGAGGGTGGAAGCTCATTGAATCATTGAGAGAAAAGGAAGCAAGCTCCAAAAATAGCTTTGCTTTAAAGGGGACCTATCATGCAAAATCCACTTTTTCATGTCTTTTATACATAAACATGTCTGAAAATGAGCTGATCAGATTTTGGTCACTTTATGATGTCATGACGATTTTTTGGCTTGTGTAATTAGCCAATAACCAACCAAGGTAACAGCCCCCCCCCCCCCCACCTTATCTACTGAATCTCCTCCCCAAACATAACTTTTTCAGGAATATGCACCATGTCAGCACAGCAGGAGTTAAATCAAACTAGATTTTGAAACAGGACATGGACACAATCACATAAAAATGCAGCACCCCGTGGTTGATTTGGTTGTTAATGGTGTTTGAATAACTTCAAGAACAAATCCAATCTACTTGCAGTGAACCTTAATGTGCCCTCGAGGTCGGTTGCCTCAGGCCAGTTGATTGAGTCGCCCCCTTATTTATTTAGCCTCGTCTTCATTCTTCTGCCTTGACACAATGTTTGTATTGTCAACATCTTCGAGTTCCTTTGTGCTGCTTCTTCTGCTCTCTGATGCCCTCTGGTTTTGTCAGGGGTTTTCAACACTTCACACACACAGATTATTACCGGGTCAGTCTGTTACAATCTCTGCCAGAGATCTGTGCCTAATCTGTCTTTAAGTGTGTGAACGGTGCCAGGTGTGACACATATATACACATGCACACACACAAACACACACTCACAAATACAGCTGGTTAGGAGTGCACAGAGGGATTCAGGTTGTGCTCACCTTGGTAACACACACACAGGTCAACAGTCTAATAATTGCAAGACTAACCTCAAGAAACCCGCGGCTTGAACACACACACACACACACACACACACACACACACACACACACAGGGTCACATGCATTTGCTGACAAAATCTTTCTTTAGATGCCTCTTGGCTCGAATCCAGCAGACTTGTGCGTGTGTGTGTTTGTGTGTGTGTTTCCTCTGATGACTGATCCCTGGTGTCGTGTCGGCGGGGGTATATCCTGTTATCAGAGTTGTGACATCATATCCGGGCGACTATATTTTACATGGGAGACCAATTTTCCCACAGACATCTGTTGTGTCCCATAGATAGCTAGTGTATGTGTGTGTGTGTGTGTGTGTGTGTGTGTTTGCATCCATCTGCCTTCATGAGAGCCTGACTGTCCATCTGTCTGTGTGTGGGCTCAAAAATAGTGAATCTTCACTGCCAAAAACTTGTTCTCGCCAGCCTTCGCTCCTTGAAAAGTGTGTGAGTGTGTGTGTGTGTGGCGGAAAAGCGTTGTGTTCTCGCGGATCATGTTCAACTCATGCAATGAATCAGTGTGTTGTGCCTCCAATAGCTGACAAAGCCCCCCATAGAGAGACGAAGAAAGAGAGAAGGAGCAAGAAAGAGGAAAAAATAGCCCGAGCGAGGCGGATTGAGGGAGAGTGAGGAATGTGAGAGGCAATTTGACACAGGAAGTGGGTCCTTCTCACCCTCCTGGAGGACAAAGTCCCCTCACACACACACACACACACCAGCTAGCAGGTAGAAAGCACTCCTGGTGTGGAGGAGGTATTTCAGGTGTGTGTGTGTGAAAGGATGGGTGAGGGTCACCTTCCAGTGGACGGAGGAAATGAAAAGGATCTAGGTTCATATCCGGAGCTGCATTCAAAAGGTCGACGTCTGGAAGTGAGCGTAGACGGAGAGAATAATGATAGCCTTCAATGAGAAATAACATCCCTGCACCCTTTTCTCCTCCCTTTTGGGTGTTTGTGTGTGTGTGGTGGAAGTGTACACATGCTGCTCGCTCAAATCTGAAAGCATTTTCTTATCACATTGGAAGGACCGGCGTGGCGCATTTGACAGAAATGAGTTTTTCTTTCTCATGGAAAAAGTTTTACAGTCCGAATCAACTCGACAAAGCAATGGAATTTCCCATTTACTATTAGACTGATAACAGCGTGTATGGACAGAGAAAACCTGACTTCACAATACCGTTTATTTCTGTGTCCTGCTTTTGGGAGCTCAGCATTCACTCTCTAACTAAAAGCTCAGCCATGGATAGAAAACCATCAATTTGAGTGAGGATAAAACAGAGGCCATCATACTTTGCCCCAGAGGGATCTCAAAGACCTTGCAGCAGTCCCTGTAACCTTTAACATCTAATGTCAAACTGCATACTGATAAATTAGGTGTCACAGTTAGGCGTTACATTATTCCTGAGGTCAGACATCTTTCATGTTATGCTAAGACATTAGTCCATGTTTTATAGACTATATTATTGTCATTTCTTATATTCCTTGCTTAGCTTTGGCGCTGCAGCTTGTTTGCAGAAGCTTCAAAATGAGGTAGTCTGTCTGCCTCCAAAGACAAAGTGCAGGCAGCTCATTAGCCAGTGTTGGCCTCTCGCCCCTGGCTACCATTGCAGTTATTTTAGTCATTAAGTGTAAGGCACTACATGGTGAAGCCACACAGTAATGTGAAGTCCACTAGATATTCAACTTTGTCCAAAAGTTTGGAAATACTCAGTAAATAGTTTAAGGGTTATAGTAAATAGTTAAAAACTTAAAGCCAATTTGTGAACTAGAACTTTATCTATTTGTTATGTCCTCTCTTGTGATAATTGACAGGGCCTGATATGAAATTAGTTGAAAATAGCCCCCCCTTCAGCAGCTAAAAGACTGAAATGCTATGATAAATGTCACAGTGACCATTTTACTGCAGAACCTTTAGAGCCTAGAAGGCCACATGTTCATTGAAGCGCTCCTGGGATGGTCCAACTTCCTGAGCTGGGAGTTTGTTCTTTCAAGTCCTGTGAGTTTAAAGTCGTCATGTAGAAAGAAATTGAGGCTAAAAGACATGTTGTATTTTATGCAAAGCGTTTAAACAACATGTGGATGTTGCTGTTTTTCAAGTCTTGTTTTGACTTGAGGGGGTATTCGACCAAACATGAATGCAGCGCATATCTTGCAATGTTTACAAAAGTTAAATATAGTCTGCCCGTTGATTCCGATCCAGACCCCTGGCCCAAACCTCACCATTCGACCAAGATGAATGAAAATCAGGCCAGTCGTTTTTCTATAATCCCGCTGACAAGCAATCCAGACAGGAACTATTATTTCTTTAGGCAGTTTCTTTAGGCAGTTGGTAAGAAACCATTGAGATGATGATACTTCTTAACTTTAAATAAGGATTGTAAATATAGCTATTTTAATTGTTAAAAGAGTGTTTTTACCTTGTAGTTTTGGTACCTTTACATGGATAAAGGTGCTGAATGTTTCTTTCAACCTGGAAAGGTGCCATATAACAGTTTGTTGGCTGAGGTGCAACATTGTTGTACTTTCTAGTCTGTGTGAATCTCAGTTCACACTGCCAGTCGCAGTTTAGAAAGTACCTGCTTTTCTTCAATCACTTGGCTCCACAACATTGTGCAACTCTAAACTTTCCCTGTGGAATTTGCTCCAGTCATCCCACGTATTAGAAAATAATTCAGATATAGCCTGAATTCATCCAGCTGGAAACTCTGGCTCCTCACATCACGACCCGTAACACACACACAAGTGCAGACTTGCTTTGCTCACATATATGCACCGATGCACATTAACATTAAAGTCCTGAATATCTTACACACACTCGCAGTGTGAATAGTCGCGCTGTTCTGCAGCAGTTTTGTTGATTCAGAGGGAGACGGAGAACGCTGGAGGTGTTTTAGGTAGGTCAAAACAGGCTGGAAACTCAGCTCGTGTCTCCCTCGCAGTAATTGGGCAGCGCTGTGCAGACATACTTGCATACATATTCTCTAGAGAGGGGGGTTAGATGAATGTAGAGAGAAGAGGAGGGAGGGAGGGAGAGGAGAGGAGAGGAGAGGAGAGGAATGGAAAAAGGGAGTTGTGCAGACCACATGATAATGAGAAGGAGTGGAGGAAATAAAATGGAGAGAGGTAAGGATGGAAAAAGGTGATGGGGA